CTTTTATAAGCCAAAGTGGAAGTAAATCAGTGGCTGCCATCTTAAGTGCTGTCAGTAGGATAAAGCTAAAGGGACGAAGCAGGATGCTTCCTATCAACCGTTCATTTAGCATAAGGACCTCCTGAACTTCCTATATGGCACTTAAAACCTATGAGGTTGCCCAAAATCCTATGTGTAAAAAGAACCATAAACACAGCACACCACTCATATGTTTTGAGTTTAGCAATGGAGAGCTTAAGGCAATCACTACAGTTGTGTAATTTGTTGTCCCAATTAGACCAGCATAAGGCAAGTGTGCTTCAGCAATAATGTCCGGAAAACTAAAGGTGGTCTGAAATCAGCACAGCAGTCCAGAGTTTCTTTTCTACCCACAACAGTGTTGTTACTGTTGACCCTGAGGAAGGTGAGGGTAGAGGAGCTACAGGAGAAGGAGGTGGGAGCTAAGATTTGCAGTATTCAGACAGCACCTAAGTGTTAAAAAAAAAAAAACCCTGTTACCTTTGGTTTTCCTAAAAATGTTCTCTGGATAGGCATGTCATTTATATTTTTAGAACGGGTCTAATCATAGATTTTTATTCAAGGTAATGTCTATGGTCTGCTATTCAAAAAACGTTCCCGATTGTTTATAAGTAAGGAAATTGATCTGCATCACTAGTAAGATGGCTCAGCAAAAGAACTGTTAGGTTCTGCTGAAAATTTCCTCCTGTTGGAAGGGAGTTTTCCTCTCTACTATCGCCACATGGATGCTTGGTGTGAGGGATGGCCTTCAATGAATGAGTCGAAACAATCAGCTGGTTTTCCTTAGATAGAAAACTCTGAACCAAACTGACTGTATGATCTGGTTGACTTGTCTCTGTAAAGTGCCTTGAGATGACATGTGTTGTGATTTGGTATTACATAAATAAACTGAGTTGAATAAAAGTTTCCTTTTAAAGGTTAAATAGCCATTTGAAAAGCTTCATTATCCAAAAGGACTACATTAAAGGGTTACAAGAAAGGTTGAAACCTAAAAAAGAACTCAGGAAAATAATAATAATAATAATAATACAGCACCACAACAATAAGTATAACCAGACAGTTTCTCAGTACTCCTAATTTTAAATCTGTTAAACCCGGTGTATAAGTCATAGGACATTTCACATCTCAGCACATCTAATAGTTGATTTTATGGGTTTTAAAAGTCAAAATATTAAAACTTCAAAGTCAATAAACCGTTTTCCAAATTCAGAAATAGCCACTAAGAAATAATAAGTTAATAGGACAAAATTAACTCTCATTAATGTGATTTTTTTCCCCCACAGCTAAATGAGCTCAGTCTTTATAAAAAAAAAGAGGAAGTCATTGCTTCATTTCTGTTTTTCCATTAAAACAGGCAACGATGATGTAGACTTCTAGAGCGGATGGTGACGAACAAAAAATCGGTCCCAGACACAAGACATTACTTCCATTCCTTTTAAATATAAATGCAATGTTTAAGTTACTGTACATATAGCAGGTGAAGTGAGTATTTAACACACCACCATTTTCTCAGTAAATATATTTCTAAAGTTGCTATTGAGATGATATGTTAACCAGATGTGGGTAACAATCCATGCAATCCACACATAAAAAGAAATCAAACCATAGATGTCCATAAATTAAGTTACCGGTATTGTAACAATGTGAAATGGCACAGGGGAAAAGTATTGCATCTGTGAAGGGAGGTGAAAAAAGGCATGAAAAAACAAATCAGCCCAAATCTCTCAGTAATTAGAAAGCAATCCTGCCTCTGGTCGGGGCAAATTAATATCAGCTGGTTCCGTCCCTAATGATGGCCTATAAAAAGGTGGCTCTGGTATCACATGAGAAACATCTCAGGATGGGTAAAAATAAACTGCTTTCTCAAGACCTTCCCAACCTTAATCATGGCATCGGTTACAGAAGGATTTCTAAAGTTCTGAATTTTCCAGTGAGCACTTTCGGGGCCATCATCTGGAAGTGGAAAGAACATAATTTCACCACAAACCAACCATGACCAGGTGCTCCTCGCAAGATTTCTGACAGAGGAGTGAAAATAATTATCAGAAGAGTTGTCCAAGAGCCAAAGACCACTTGTGGAGAGCTTCAGAAATTTCTGGAATTAGCAGGGAAAATTGTTTCAAAGAAAACAATAAGAACCACCATGGCCTGTATGAACACTCACGATGCAAGACTCCATTGCTGAAGAAAAAGCAGGTTGAAAAAGTTGAAAGTTTGCTGCACAACATTTAGACAAGCTTGTGAAAGACTGGGAGAATATAGTCTGCTAAGATGACACCAAAATTGAACTAATAGGATCACATAATACTCATCATATTTGGAGGTCAAATGGCACTGCACATCACCCCAAAAACACCATACCAACAGTGAAGTGTGAGGTGGGAACATCATGGTGTGGGCTGTTTTTCAGCATTCTGTACTGGCAAACTTCAAATAATTGAAGAAAGGTTGAATGGAAAAATGTACAGAGAGATTCTTGATAAGAATCTGCTGCAATCTACTAGGAAGGTGAAGATGAAACGTGGACGGATATTTCAGCAGGACAATGACCCCAAGCACAGAGCCAAGGAAACTCTCGACTGGTTTCAGAGAAAAAAAATAAAGCTGTTAGAATGGCCCAGCCAATCACCTGACTGGAATCCAGTAGAAAATCTAAGGAAAGAACTAAAGATCAGAGTTCATAGAAGATTTGAAGACTGTGAGGAAGAATGGGCCAAAATCACACCTGAACAATGCATGCGACTCATTCCTCCATACAGAGGGTGTCTTGAAACTGTCATTGCCAACAAAGGCTTTTGTACAAAGTATTAAAAAAAAATTCAGTAAGTGTGTTCAATACGTTTCCCAGTGCCATTTCACTTTATTACACATCATTTAATTTCTGGACATCTACATTTTGATTTCTTGGTAAGTGTGGATTGCATTGGTTGTTACCGACATCTGGTGAAAATGTTATGTCAATAGCACTTCTAGAAATATATTTACTCAGAAAAATGGTGGCGGGTTCAATACTTACTTCACCCGATGTATATTACCTAACCAAATAATAGTAAATCTAAGCATTTATCTATCTATCTATCTATCTATCTATCTATCTATCTATCTATATACTGTATATATATATATATATATATATATATATATATATATATATATATATATATATATATATATATATATATGTTGTTCAGTATTTAATTCCACACCTGTTAATTCATAGTTTTGATGCCTTCAGTGTGAATCTTTAATTTCCATAGTCATGAAAATAAAGAAAACTCTTTGAATCAGAAGGTGTGTCCAAACTGTTGGTCTGTGCTGTAGATATACATATATAACTACAAGTTTCAACCTTTATGAAAGATGCAGCCTTTAATTTGAGATTTTTTTCAAGAAATATTGTTTTGATCAGCAGAATAGCAAATATTGGATCAAAGTCTTTGCAGTAGATTTTCAAAACTGCTGCCTTTTAAAGCGGTTTAACAAAAGTTGCTGAATACAAATGCAAACAACACTTTATTTGCAAAAAAACCGATAAAACCCCAGAATTCAGGGGGTTGCAATACTTTTGAAAGTTGCTGAATATGTATAAAAGTATGCATCACGCTGCGAAGATGAACCACTTCGCCGATCCAATCAGGTTATTCTGTTAAACAAGCACTAATTGTCAACAGGAAACGGGAGATCATAAAATAATTTACCTTTTTCAAAGAATGAGCACATGAATCAGAGAAGACCTCTAGTGGATGAACCTTTATAAACAGCTGCACTTATACATTTCATCACTACACCTTTAACTTTGCAGATCTGTAACATTAACGAAAAGGCTCAAACTGATTTTTAAATAAAACGTTTTTAACAGTTGCTTAAATGATACATGAGGAACAAACAACAGTGAACAAATAGCACCATTAAAAAAAACAAAGCACCAACTAAAGTAACAGGAATAACATTGCAGCCAACCCCCACAATGACAGATGCTTCCTCTCTTCGTTATGAAACTGAGTGTTGCTCATAGCTGCTATAAGTGTTGACTGAACCACAGCAGATTACAGAGCACAGTGATGCCACCAGGCCCAATGAGCGATCCCTCAAAGCCTCTTAGGCAGCATTTCTACAATTATTCTCTACTAGATGGAGAAACGGTGGAAATGCAGATGATGCGTCATTAAATTCCGCTCTGTGAAGCAGAGACCTGAATCCGCTGAAGTCGTACCAAAAATGGAACATGTAGGGTGGCATTAATGCAACAGGTGTCAGCATGAAAATCTGCAGAGGAGTTTTAGCTCGTGGTTCTGAGGTCAGCATGTTTTTTCATGGCAGTGTGTCTGTCTCATAACAAAGTTAACAAAGAAAGTGAATAATTAATCTCTGAGGAGATTCAGGGTTGTGTTCTGTGCAGCGCCGTTACTCTACTATCTAATACTGGTTTAATAGATTGTAGGGACATTGTAAATTTGTAAGAACTGAATGAACCTTTCAGGTCAGTTTTCCTTTTTGCATTTTTATCTCTAAATTTTTCAACAATTTCTACCCACTTTACATCTCAGTGCTCTTGACTTTAATCATTATTAGATCTTTATCATTAAAAGGAGATACAATAATGTAAAAAAGCTCCAATCTCACGCATTATTTAATTTTATTGTATATTATTCTCTTAAAGGTATAGTGGAGGATGTTCTTTTTCCGGGTGGATCATCAAAATAAGTGGTCCTCCTAATTATCAATCATTCTGGTGATATGTTTAAAATAATGTTTTAAGGCCATCCTACGTGCTCTTTCCCATTTTTACTTACTGGTGGCGAGTCTGACATAGTAGAAAAATTGCAAATCTCCTTTTAGAAAGTAGGCTTGTATGAGCAATGCAAAAACCAACTTTTAATAAGAGCGTGCACGAGGAGAAATGGGCTCGTGCACGCTCTCGCAGGCTTTCAATAGGCGTTACCTCTCAGGAGCAGGTACAGGGTTGTGCATGTGGATTTTTGTTTAAGTGGAGAGAGCGGTCGTTTCAAAAATTCACAAACATTCTCCACTATACCTTTAAGCATTGTTGTTGTTAGTTTTTTGCTCTGATTTTAGTTTGAACTTATTGACTCTAAATCCCATATATTAGTCATATATTATATTTCACTACAGAGGACTGTGAGCTGATTTTAGAAATCTACATGCTTGCTTTCATCTCGCTGCACTGCAGCCGGCATGGACAGAAAACCCAGATTATCAAACTGCAGGAGAGGGGCCTTATGGTGGAAGATAACAGTCTATAAAATGTAAATGTAGGTGTCTAAATATGTGAATCTAAGCTGTCGTCCTCTGCTTATCCTTGACCAGCTCGTGGGGGCAGCACTCTTAGCAGAGGTGCCTTGAACAGCTCCGGAGGGAGGAGCCAGGGGGCATGATGTCCAATCCACCTCAGCTGGCTCCTTTCTGGAGTAGAGGTTGCTCTACTCGGAGGGGCAGAGATCAAACGTACAACCGCTGCTTTTCGTTTTATGCCTTTCTTCCATTCTTCTTCGGCCATCCAGTAAAGAGTGTAACAGCCTCGTTAGAGGTTGTTGATCCAAATTTGTAAATTTACACTCAGAAATTTTTCATTTGTACCTTATGCAAAGTTTGAACTTACTAATTCATATTTGAAAACTGAAAAAAATAATGAAACCATTTTTTGGGATTTACTTAATCATATATAGTTACTTTAGCAAAGTTTCATGTTAGCATGGTAGGACATAAAACAATTAAATAAATGCCAAAACGGTTGAATTATTTTTTGGATGATGTTGGATCATTTTAGGGATAATTGTATATATGGTCACGCCTAAACAGGGCGGATAAATTATGCCTTATATTAGATTAGCACTTCTGCTAGATATCTGAGGTTGATTTTATTCCCTGCTGGCAGAGCTGTCTAACTGCGGCTCACTGTGCTCTGTGTTTCCACTTAATATTTGCACCTTTATGCATACTGTATGTGGGGAAAAAAAAGTCAAAAAAACTTAACAACCAGGTTGCAATGAGTGAAATCTGATAATGACTGAGAGGAACCTCTTTCTGAAGCTGCCAAAGTCTGCAGCCACAACACAACCCAACATCCTATCTTACGGAAACGTTTTCTGTCAAACCCTACAGCATATAGCTATATAAGACTTGCAGAGGTGATAATCTGTAGGGAAACTATCCAAGACGACAAGACTGCGGCATTTCCCACAACTTCCACATCAAGTCAAATAACGGTTCAAGAAACAAAACGCACACAAGTCCTGTGAGTGCTGAGACTCTTTGTGCAACTTGACTCTGCTCATTCTACTTAATACCTGCGAGGACTTGGAGGTTAGACTAATATGTAAAAGAAAAAAAATGAAAATTAATAATATAAAAGTCAATTAAGAGAAAAGAAAATCATAGGAGCTAATCTTTTTCTGGGCATAATAATTAAAAAAGTGGAAGTTTAAAAAACAGAACAGACTACACATTTAGGCTCCTCGTGAAAATCTAATGAATCTTAAGAATACTGCAGTCAGTCCTGTAGCCAGAGTAGAACACATAGCACCAAAATTTTACGAGAAAGTTTGGAGAAAACAGATAAAGAGAGATAAAGAAAGAGAGAGAGAGAGGGCTCGTCCTGACAGATGATGGAGGACAGCTCCTGCCTCCTTCCTCTCTAGGGGACATAGAATCCACCCTCTCCTCCAGTGGAAGATGTTTAGTCCAGAGGTTTCAGATCCAGGTTATCAGTGAGGAGAACAAAAACCTCCTCTTTGTAACTTCAGCGTGTCCGTTTGCCAGCTTAAAAAATCGTATCCAAGCTTGAAGTGACGGAGACACGGCGACAACTACTGCAGCGAGGCTCAGTGGAAAAGGTTCAGTCTTACTGTTTGACCTCCAACAGCTGCAGCAGCGTCAGTGTCCCTGACAGGTCTTACAGCACATCTGTCTGAAATACGGCCGGTTGCAGAACTTGAACCTGAGCACCAGGGGGCAGTATGCCACAGTGCTCACGTCTTTACATTCTGCAGAGACAAAGAAGGAGAAGCACAGCTTTGAGCATGTTTGGGGCCATGTTGGTGAAATCATTTTAACATAAGTTCTACATTAGTTGATCAATTACTGCTTTTTTTTTTTTTTGTTAGCAGAGTAAAATATCAGTTTTATAAATATTCTATTGATTTCAGTTTATTTCTATAGCGCCAATTCACAACACATCATCTCAAGGTACTTTACAGAGACAACTCAAGCAAGGAAATTGATTCAAAGTTTTTTATCTAAGGAAAACCAGTTGATTGCATCGACTCATTGAGTCGAAGCCAATCCCTCACATTAAGCATGCTTGCAGCGACATTAGGGAGGAAAAACTCCCTTTTAACTGGAAGAAACCTCCATCAATACCAGGCTCAGTGTGAGAGTCCATCTGCTGAGGCCGACTCGGGTTCAAGGAGACAGAAGCAGAGAGACAAAAAAAAGTAGAGATAAAAAAGGGCAACTGTCAACCAGCTCCACAGGCGGCACACAGCCGTCAGGAAACACAGCCAGGCAGGATGCTTCCTATCATCAGTTCATTTAGCATAGGGATGTCCAAATGTTCCTACACAGTCCAACTCATGTTCATATCTTCTGATTTTTGTAATTGAGACATTAATTTGTTTGACTTTTATTTTTCAGAAGGCTGTGGTCCCAGATTGACAAGCATCACCTATCGTGGTTTTCGTCAGATAATGACGTCTGTAAGGCTGAAGGATGTCCAGATTCCGCACAGAGGTTTGTGGCTCCTTTTCTACTCTGGATCGTCTTCTTTTTGTTCACAACTGTGAGAAGTGAAGGAACAGTAGCTACAGCTGTGCTTAAAAGTCTTCATACCCTCCCATTAAAGAAAATGCTAAATTCACACTAGTAACTGAGTATTAATAAATAAAAATGTCCTAAATGATAATTTAGTTAAATAAATTATCAATTTAAAATTTTTGCTTAAAAAATAACTCTAACACAAAAAAATGCCCCAGACACAATTTAAAGTAGCTTTCTAATGAATACCAACAACCAACATACCTTTCAACAGGTGTAGAATTTCAAATGAACAGTACAGAAAAAAACCCTGATTTCAGCAACTATATATATATATATATATATATATATATATATGTTCACAAGTCATTTTTTGCAAGTCCAAGTCAAGTCTCAAGTCTTGAGAGCTCAAGTCCAAGTCAAGTCTCAAGTCTATTTGCGTGCTTGCTTGTTTCTCCTTGTGTTTTCATCTCCGTCACTGAGACGGTATAGCTTAAAGGTCACTATTATATCTATGGTATGATCATTATCTTGAACTGGTCAGTGATGTCAGTGCTACATGACTGTTTGACAGCCCCTCTGCCGTTTTTTTTGTTTGTTTGTTTTTTACCTCTGCTGGGTAAGGCGAGCGGCGATCAGTCAAGTTAGTAAAACAAAAAACGCTTAAAAAATATATATTGTTCACAAGTTGGAAATCGCGAGTCTCAGTCGAGTCTGAAGTCCTTCAAATGCAAGTCTAAGTCGAGTCTGAAGTCATTAAATATGCGACTTAAGTGCGACTCGAGTACGAGTCACAAACTCGAGTCCCCCCCTCTGATATATATATGTATATTTACATAAAAGCTGTCATATGTGGATGCACTGTATATACTGTATATATCCCATGCACATTTTTCTTCCTTTGGTACGCTCCTCTTCTCCTTTGACTATTTCGGATGATATAACATGCACATTTCTCCACTGTGAGATCAATAAGGTCAATCAATCAATCAATCAATCAATCAATCAATCAATCAATCAATCAATCAATCAATCAATCAATCAATAATCCAGCTTTATACAGTGGATGCTAAATTTTTATTTTATTCTTTTTAATGGAAGGGTATGTGTTTCAGGCACAACTGCATGAGCCTTAATCTGTAATATTTGGACAGACCCCTTTCCTGTCTGTGTGTGAGTTGGAATTATTGCTATAACCCCTGAATGAGCCAAGATTACTCCCTAACTACAGCTAGAACAACATGGCTTCAGCATTAAGGAAAGTAGTGCACCCTTAAAAATGATCGAAAGATTGAAGACTAATCAATTATTTAGTCAGACTAATAATATTTTTCATTTCTTAATAAGATCAGGTAACTATTATCACCTGCTGCATTGCAATAAAAAAAAAAACATTTTGAGTACTGGGATCCCTCAAGCTTGTGTACTCAGTCCCCTTCACACCATTAACACACAATCATGCAGCCAAACTTAAGGAAACCCTAACTATAAAATTCTATAGATCATATGGAACAATTGGGAATACCAACCTTAGACTTAGTGTGTGATAAATGAAAAAAGATGAAAATATATTTCCTGTTTTAAAACGAATCGCTCTGCGTTAGCACACGAAAAGCAGAACCATTAAACAGCTGTCTACTTAAAGGGGAACAACGTTTGTTTTTTTTTTACATCGGGCCCTTGATTTTACGTTATTACATCATGTTCTACTCACCCATATGAGTCTTGTGTCATTTGGAGGCATTCTGAAGATATTCCGTTACGTTATATCCAAGTAACGACTTGAAGGCACAAACTGAACTGTTCATAATTAATTCTTTATGGTACGCCAGCATTCATAACATGTAGGCGAATCACTGTCCCCCAGACATCCACGGCTATATTTTTTATATTAATATTTTTTTAAAACAAAGCGGAGTGTGTATGACGTCATAAAAAACGATGTTCCCCTTTAAGTGACTGAAGTTCCTGTCAGTTTAAAAAGGTGAAACTGAAAGATATAGAAGATTACCAGCAGTGAAATTTGTCCTCTGACCTTCTGGATTCTCTGTATTAATGGGCAGACTGGGGTCACATTTGCTCTTGCACTGCTGCATAGCTGCGGGCCGCTGGTGCTCCAGACACTCGTTGGATGGCTGGCCAGTGTGGGTGAGACACTGCACCGAACGCATCTCCTGTCCCAGACCGCACCTGGCAGAGCACTGAACCACAAGAACCCCTTTAATACACAAACATCACTCCCAGATCTGAGGCACAACAAAACATTTTAGGAGCTGGACTTATTTCTAAACCTTTCCTAGGAGTCAATTTAAGAGATAAAAGCTTGTTTCTAAGAACATAAATACTGCAGTTAACTATCATTGAGGTGGAATACTCTATTCACTATTTTTGGCATTTAATTGAGCAATCAGAGAGAATATTCTACAGCTCTTTTTTTGGTTAACTTTTATTTATAAGACATTATTTTGACTGCTTCTGGCTTTTATCTGTACTGCAATCACACTGAGAAATGTCGACTCATATGCTGCTTTTTTCTGTCCTTTCGCTCTAAAGACACTAAAAGTTCTTGAGGCTGATTCAAAAACATGTTCCTGTTTTTCATCCTTTGTTGCTTTTCTTTTAACTATGCAACTAGAGTTTTATTTGTTGCTGCCTCTTGAAAAAAAAAAAAGATTTCAATCTAAATGGCACTATCATGGTTAGACATAAAAAAATGAAACATTTTTAAGCTTACCACAAGAATATATTGCATGAAAATGAAAGTAAACTAATCATTTTATTGCTTTTAAAAAAGAAAATATGTATTTTAATGCTTGCTACACATGTCTTTAGTTTATACACTAACGTATGCTAAAAGAGAATCTAAAAAGCATAATGTCGTCCACATTAAAAATAATCTGTCTTCTGTACCTTAGTGACAAGTTGCAGTAACTTTTTTGTGTGTTTTTGGTTTGTATTAAATACAAAGGTTTTCTTTTTCAGTTTTTGGGGCATATTTGAAGAGTTCTGCCAACAAATAGCGTGTTTTAGAGTCTGTCTAATCCAGTTAAGGATTATTCATTTTAAGTTTTTTTCCCCTAAAAGCTAACATACAAACATTTCCTCTTTTTCATTATGTTCTCTTAAAGCAACAGTGCAGTATTGATGCGCTCTGATTGGCTTTTGGCCCCGAGCAGAGTTCCTGTTATTTCAGACTTTTCCTAGAAAGCTATTTTTCTTTCTTTCACTGACCTACAATGGTTTCCTTAGAAAAGATAATTAAAGCAATGCAATTGTAAACATGACTCTTCAGGCTACTTGGTTCAAATTACCCCAAATAAATAGAAAGAACATCAAATTAATTAGTTATGAAGTCTTTAGTTTGATTCTTATGGAGTGAATATTGTTCTGTTATTGGTGCAAGAAAAAAAACATGTTAAGGAGATGGACGTTTGAAAAAAAATATAATGACCTTCGAAAAAAAGTTTTAATAAAAATAAAAAAATAAAAAAAGAAGGTAATGAGAGTAGTTTTGCTTTTTTTCTCAGATTTTATTTAAATAATTTGGTCAAAATGTTTAGATTCACTTTTTTAAGCAGGTTTGATATTTTATGTTTTTCCCCTAAAAAAATATAATTTGCAGATTTCTTATTTTCAAACTTTATTTCATCAAAAGTTATTTATTATCAAAAGTTGTTTTATTTTTCAGACTGAGTTTTAAAAATTGCATTCTTTTCTAATTGTACTTGACAGATTCCTTTCTCTTCACTTCAAGCCCAATACAAACCTTCAGTGTTGATCAGTGTTTTATAGATAGACCATTAAATAATTAATTAAAAGGTCTAAACATCTGAAAACATTGAAAATCTGCAATGTTTTGGTGTGTGGTTTGACAAGTGAGTTGCCAAATAATTACATAAATGTTATCAAATTTATTGTTTATAATAAAAGAAAAATAAAATGATTTGGCTTTTAATTTCTTGTACATTGACAGCCTTCAATTGGCTATTAAATAGGTATGAAGCTGTAAAATAATGCTTTTCAAGCAATTAAACAAAACTAAAAACATACTTTGCAAAAGAATTAAACAGTACTATAATATTTCATCAAAACACCCTAAGAGGACTGTATGATCGCAGGATATTTGTGTCATTGTAGCTCTTAGAAAATAAAGAAGGTGTTGATTAAAGCTGTCATTCAGTGTTAAGATGAAGTGAAGAGCTTCTTTAAATTCCAGCTTCTAACAGATGATAAAATCTTTGTTCTGAAGCATAATGAGCAAATTACAGCAACATTAGTCAGAGTGTTTAATATGCAAAGGATTCCACTTGTCATACATTTATTGGGTTCAGGTATAATGGGGAGAAACAAGATCCCCTACTGGTAGTTGGGGGTGATAAGCGGAGTGTATTCAGGAACCTCGTTGCCAGTCTTTGAATCAGGAGCATGAAGTAGGTTCACTGACGGCACGCTGATATATTGGATGTATTAACCACAAGAATTCAAGATGTCTGAAAGGAAACCAAAACCAGCTTTTAAGCACAAACACCACCTGTTAGCCGCAAGGTGGTGGAGGTGTTTCTTTTGCACACAGAGGTGTGATTATTTTGTCTGGTTCTGCAGCCTCTGGACATGGATTCCTCATCTATAAATTTATCTATATAACAAAGTATTTCAAGTATGCATGTTTGGTCATGTGTTTCAAGAAACTGAGGTGAAGTCCAGTTGAGGACACAACATACAATGATTCTCATAAAGGGTTTTAAAAACATATCGAATGAGAAAACAGAAGAATTCAAGTATAGTTATGGCCTATTGAAAGATTGGACCTTATAGTTTTGCTGTGGAACATTTCAGAAATCATTGACTCAAATCCTAATTCAGAGAAAACAAGTTTTAAACAAAAAAATTATCCAACATCCCTCTGTAACAATATCAGAGGTGAAGTTAAAGTTCCTCCTGCCTAATGTGCTTCTAAAACTACTCAACGATAAAGTGAAGCAAATTAGTCTTTACATGCAAGCTCATATTTTTTGCTTTTCCTATTTTAGTTTAATAATGACAGTGTGGAATTGGTAGGTTGCTTTTTAAAAATTTTCTAAAAACCTGTGGTATCATTTATAAAGCTTATATTCTCACAAAACAGGGACTTAAACTTGCTTTAGTCACTTTCCAGACAATGTTTGTGATCTATAAAAATCAAACTTGGTGTAAAAGAGTGCAAACCCTCACGCTCACTTCACCTGTGTGCTGGGTATACAGGTCCTTCTCAAAATATTAGCATATTGAGATAAGGTTCATTATTTTCCATAATGTAATGATAAAACTTGTTCATATATTTTAGATTCATCACACACTAACTGAAATATTTCAGGTCTTTTATTGTCTTAATATGTATGATCTTGGCATACAGCTCATAAAAACCAAAAATTCCTATCTCACAAAATTAGCATATTTCATCCGACCAATAAAAGAAAAGTGTTCTTGATACAAAAAAGTCAACCTTCATATAATTATGTGCAGTTATGCACTCAATACTTGATAGGGAATCCTTTTGCAGAAATGACTGCTTCAATGCGGCGTGGCATGGAGGCAATCAGCCTGTGGCACTGCTGAGGTGTTATGGAGGCCCAGGATGCTTAGATAGCAGCCTTTAGCTCATCCACAGTGTTGGGTTTTGCGTCTCTCAACTTTCTCTTCTCAATATCCCACAGATTCTCTATTGGGTTCAGGTCAGGAGAGTTGGCAGGCCAATTGAGCACAGTGATACCATGGTCAGTGAACCATTTTCCAGTGGTTTTGGCATTGTGAGCAGGTGCCAGGTCGTGCTGAAAAATGAAATCTTCATCTCCATAAAGCTTCTCAGCATGAAGTGCTCCAAAATCTCCTGATAGCTAGCTGCATTGACCCTGCCCTTGATAAAACACAGTGGACCAACACCAGCAGCTGACATGGCGCCCCAGACCATCCCTGACTGTGGGTACTTGACACTGGACTTCTGGCATTCTGGCATTTCCTTCTCCCCAGTCTTCCTCCAGACTCTGGCACCTTGATTTTCAAATAACAAGCAAAACTGAGCAACAGTCCAGTGCTGCTTCTCTGTAGCTCAAGTCAGGCGCCTCTGCCGCTGTTTCTGGTTCTAAAGTGGGTTGACCTGGGGAATGCGGAACCTGAAGCCCATTTCCTGCACACACCTGTGCATGGTGGCTCGATGTTTCTACTCCAGACTCAGTCCACTGCTTCTGCAGGTCCCCCAAGGTCTAGAATCGGCCCTTCTCCACAATCTTCCTCAGGGTCCGGTCACCTCTTCTTGTTGTGCAGCGTTTTCTGCCACACTCTTTCCTTCCCACTGAGGTGCCTTGATGCAGCACTCTGGGAACAGCCCACTGGTTCAGAAACATCTTTCTGTGTCATACCCTCTTGATTGAGGGTGTCAATGATGGCCTTCTGGACAGCAGTCAGGTCGGCAGTCTTACCCATGATTTGGGTTTTGAGTGATGAACCAGGATGGGAGTTTTAAAGGCCTCAGGAATCTTTTGCAGGTGTTTAGAGTTAATTTGTTGATTCAGACAAATACGTGCATAGCTCGTTTAGAGACCTTTATCATGATATGCTAATTTTGTGAGAAAGCAATTTTGGGTTTTCACGAGTTGTATGCCATGTATGACGAGGTGTTGTGCAGTTTCAGTATTACAATTTCAAAACAAATAAAAGGTGTCAAAATAATTTTTTGAAAAAATAAAATTTGGAAACAAAATTACAACCTGTAAAAAGTTATTTTGAAAAAATAAAATTTGAAAATAGAGAATCATAAAAAAAAATTTTGACCAAATTTTGTAAAAAAAAAAAACAACAACTTACAATTGAAAAGATAAAATGTAAGAAATGAATATGAATAAAAAAAAAAATTAAGTCTGAGAAAAGAGTAAAGTCCATCTCAAAGTCTCTTTGTTAGAGAATATTTTTCATAGTTTGTTTTCTAGATTCCATTTTTTTTTCCCATTTTCATTTACAAAATGTGCTCTTTCTACAACAACAATGGAGCAAAATTCAATCCATGTTAATTGATGATAAACGTTTTATAAATGACACCCCTGATAGTTTCGATCATGTTCTGATCGGTAAAGCCTAAGATCAAAAGGTTTCCTTTTTCATTGTGACATCACTGCACTAATCATCACATTACACAAAGGATAAAAGACATGTCTGGTGTCTTACCTCCCCCCATGGACCTGTGACCCACTGAGGTGGAGGGCAGCGCTGCAGGTTACAGCGCACCCTGGAGGTGGGTCGGCCATATTTGGGACACTTTGAGTCTGGCAACGTGTCGCCGCTCTCTCCGCTCTTACACAACACCACACGGTGTCTGTAGCCAGGACCACAACTGGGTGTGCACTGCACACAGAAAGGGGAAAACTATATTTAAAACATCAGGCAGCCTGGTGGGGAGCTTGGAGGGTGCTAATCCTAATCTGCTCAGCAGAGGGCAGCAGATGCAAGAGAAATAAAGATCCTGTGGAGTTTTTGTAGAACGAGTTGATATCATTACTCCTATGCAAGCAACACTGCTGCATGATAAGATGCTTCATACACAAGAAAATCTATTGTAACTAAGAAAGAATGACTAAAGGAAATTATAGCTCCATAAAATAAGGACTATTATGGAAGAAAAACAGTCTCAATGTAATCTCCCTTTCTTTGTACACCAAATCTTAAACACTGAATTTTTTTAACACCATATTTTAAACGCTGATTTTTTTATGCACATTGAATTCCTTATACTGAATTTATATCCAATTCTGCTGCAAATGTGTTGACCTTTTGGTGAACTCAAGCCAAAGCAATCGACACTAGATGCAGTCGAGCAGCTTCTAGCCAATGAAATGAGCTCAGGTGACATAACACTTGGGCATAGCTTTGTTCCAGGCTGAATGAAGCTGAATGAGGAGTTTTTCTTGTTAAATAGATATGATTACAAAACATCAGGTAGCTACTAATAGACTACCATTACAATTATTTTATTTTCTAATCTGACTGGGTGAAATAACTGAGCCAATCACAGAAAGTGCAGCACCCTTGTCTGCCGAGGCTCTTGTTTTGATCCGGAAGATGCAGCCAGTGGCAAACTTCTTTTTTTTCTGACAAAATGAGCTAATTTCATTGGCTAGAAGCTGCTGGACTGCATCGAGTGCAGATTGCTTTGTCTTGAGTTCACCCAAAGGTCAACACATTAGAATTATTTGCAGCTGAATTTTTTGCAGGCAATTTTTTTGCATCTGATAAAAATTTTCACCAGATAAAAATTCAGTTTAAGGAATTCAATGTGTAAGAAAATTCAGCGTTTAAAATTCAATTTGTACAAAAAAGACAGATTTAAATAAGACTGTTTTACTTCCATAAACTATTTACCAAAAGAGTTCACATTAAACATGAATCAATTTAATCCAAAAATAGTATTCTCTGACAGATCATGTGTTTGTCTTATCTCAATATTTATCATGATTACCATTAAGTTACATAGGTTTGACTTCTGCAGACAGCTGTGCTTTCTTGTGGTGAACTTTATTTAAGTAACAACAAAGAGAGAAATGTAAAGCATGCATTAAAAAAACAGTTTGTACCTCAGACCAATCCAAAGCCATCCACTCTGGAGGGCAGCTGTGGTTGCTGCAGGGCTCTGTAAACGATGGGCGAGGGGAGCTGCAGGCCGAATCATCCAGGACCTTCTCCTCCATCACAGAAATCCTCCTTTTACACAACACCTCCCGAGTCCGCAGGCCGCCGTTACAGCTGCGGCTGCACTCTGACCACTCTCCTGTCCACCAGCTGGAAGCAGAGAAAAGCCTGCTGTTTGTTTTTAACATCCTCCTCGCATGCAGCAGTCACATACAGCATAGATGCACAAAAGGTTTCTAGTTCCCTCTCATGGAGTGAGGAAGCCGCCAGCACTCACTTTGGAGAGCACGGCTCAGTGTTGCAGGATCTCCTCTTCTCTTTGGGTTTGCTCTTCTTGTCACAGAAATGATTGTAGACGACTGAAAGATCTGAATGCCGTTTACACACAACCTGCTGGATCTGGACACCTGACCACAGGGTGGAAAAGAAAGGAGAAAATTTACAATTCCATCTCAAAAGTATTGAGACACATTAAGGGTTTTTACATTACAAACCCAAACTTCACAGAAAAAAACAATATTTTCTAGGTAAAGCTTTGAGTGACAAGAAACCAAAAGATACTGAGTGTATACAAAAATAAATTTAATTCAGTATAGCTCTCAAGACATGTTCACTTTGAAAGAGCAGCAGTGATAAAAAGTAAGCTTCTTTTTTTTTAAACCCCATTTTATGCACATTCAGCTAATGGGTCAGAGTAGATGAAACAAAAACAAAAACTACCTAAACAAGGGCAACAAAATCCATTTCAATTCATTCATCGCTGTTTGAAGTTTTACTCAACAGAACAACACTCAGTTTCTGTGGTCATAATGTTTTGACTGGTCTGTATACATGGGTCAGAAAGTAAAAAGAGTGTTTTTGCTTTAATCCTTCAGCCTAAGAAGGTCTGAAGAGCAGTGAGCGCCAAGGCCAGGCAGTAAAACACCACTTTTCTACGGTGGTTCTGTTTCTTTCCTACCTCCAGCACACAAAGCTGAACAGCGGGACCAGGACGTGTACTGCCAGGCGAAGCCACTCATAGGATCCCTGCTGACTGGTGGGTTGAAACGATAGTGGATCCCTGGATTGTCCTCACTAAGCCGTAACTAAGGTAATCAGACCAAAAGCAAAGCAGCAATATTTTATTTCCCTGCATTTTTGACCAATCAGGGGGGAAATCCGGCTTTATATTTATTCTATCCTATTCTTACCAAGACAATTAGGGTCATATTTGTTGGTCCAAGAGCTTCAAGAGTTTCTGGTCCGTCAGCGGGCCGCCTGTAGTGGAAAGTGGTCCCAGCAGCGTTGACCCTTCGAGCCGTGTCAGTGGTGAGCTTCTCATTGATAAAATACTGATCATTCTTACTCTTCAGGACTGAAACACATGGTAGAGACACATTTAGATATATTTCTCAGATTTAATGCATTTATGTTTGGTCATTCTGCATTAGGAAATAATTCTGCAAGAAACCAAATTTCAAACCCTCCTAATAGCCTTTAACTATCAGGCTTATTGTCAGTGCTCAATCCTGCTGGGTCCTAGCTGGTGTATTATGTTATTCTTGTTCAATTTTTTCAGGTCCACATTTGTGTGACCATTTTTTTCCTGCTGTAAACACCAGAATTACCCCATTGTGGGACAATAAAGCAATTATTCAAAGTGTAATTTCAAAGATAGGACCAGTGTGGGACTAAAGTCAGCAGAAACATTTTAAATCCCCGTATAAATCAGCTTGGGTAACCAGCTGCTAGCCCCGATACACCAGCTTTCCATTGTGTTTTAATTGCCTGTTCCTCCTGTATCTCAACCTATCGATCAGTATCCAGAAACTGCCCTGGCTGTGAGTATCCAAAATCTTTCATCTCCAGTAGTTGGATACTGCAAGCAAACAATCTAGTGGGCAGAGAAGGAATTCCATTTTAAGGTCTTGTTAGCATGTTTAATAGTAATCTACACAGCCAGAGCAACTGGACCTGCCTTCCAGCTGCAAACTCTAAATACTGCAAGACCAAATATGTTTAAACACCTCTTTGGTTTCCCTGTTCTAGCTGATCTTACTTGGCTTAACAGATAATATTTAATATGATGACATCGTTCGACATTAGGGCTGGAACTCAGCGACAGATGCACGATATTGGGATTTTGGCCGATATCCGATATGCC